GAGCCAATGGACACCGGTTCACTTGGGACAGTAGAGCGGGATAATGTAAAAAGACACTCGAAACATTTGGATGGGTCAAGAGATAGACCAGATGTAGTGGAAAACTGTTGGATATTACCCAAATTGTCGGAAAATTGTGAAAGACCAGAAAAGTCGGAAATGGCCTGACACAAGACCAATTTTGTGTATGCATTAGAGTTTGATGGACGGGTACTGCCAGGGTGTCCAGCAACTAAGAAGGAGAACGATTAGGGTTCTCGCCCAAAGCCTTTAGTTCTAACAAGAACCTGACCGCAAGGAAGCGGGTAGAGCGAAGTAGAGGCCCATTTACTTGAATCAATTACTCCTCTACCATTTCACCGATTGAGATGCTAACTTGAGTCGAACCCTCAACCTGGAGGACCAGGAAACGACTTCGTCTGACCTCTACCCATTGACTTTCTAGGCATGATTAGATCTGCGGTTTGACAAAAGCCATTCTGTATAGATCGTTGGGTCAGAGAGGTGCACAAGCCATCACACCATGTCAAGGTGCAGTCTCGCCGTGATGGGGCGATAAGGTTGAACAACTATAAACAGGGAATATCGCTCTCGCGTTAAATAATTTTAACAGATCGACCAAGAATTGTGCAGTCTTCAACTCCTAGACCGGCAAATAAAACTGGGAAGCAGTAAAGAAGGTGAGTGATAACACAAGAATATACAAATCGGGTGAGTAAATACAGTAGAACTTTTAAAGATAACAAGCGGGAAGTAAAGAAACACAATAGTCGAATCTTTTTGAAAGTAGAAAGTGAATTTAAAAATAAAAAGAAGCATGTGAATTCCACGTGAGATCTTGGCAGACATTAGCACCGAGGTATTGTAGAGAAAGTAATGGGGGGAACAGACTGGCTGTCAACAAAGAGTACAGGACAATTTCTTTCAAATCAATGTGGCCGTTCTCCTTTGGCTAGTGAGAAGGTGACACCCCCGCTTTTAGAGGCATTGATAGATAATTTGGAATGCGACGACCATAAGCTTAAGGCAGGTAAACTGGTTTGAAGCTGTGAGAAACGGAAATCACCTAGAAATTTGGAACCCACGGTGACATCAGCAACACACTTGATAAAAAGATCACCTGTGTCAGTGGGTGGGTCTTGAAAATAGAAAGAGAAAAGGGGACAGCGCTGCTCCCGGAAGCACTCCTAAACTGACAGGTAACGAGTCAATTTTTTCCAAGAAACTCCGTGAAGTGTGTTCTACTAGTAAAATAATCTTGGAGTAGAGACAAAAACCTGCCCCTGTCGACACAATTCAATGCTCTACATTAGTCGAGGAAACATACGAAATGCCGTACCATGCTTGTCTAGGGATTGCAAAACTGAGTTTACCAAGTGCACAAGGGCGTCTAAGGTAGAACGTTGTTTGCGATAAGCGACTTGTCGGTGATCCATCTTCCTAGTGTTAGAAACAATGTTACTAAGCATAAACTTTTCAAAAATCTTTAGTAAAACGGAAGTGCAAGCGATTGGTTGTAATTTCCTGGCTGCCATTTTGGGGACTGGTCTGATACACACGGGTATCCAACAGTCGGCAATTATCGTTCCTTGAAACAGCGGTTGAAAATACCGGTATGTGGCTCAGCCAGATGATACGCACATTCCCTTAGGACGACTGGACATAGTTCATCGGGACCAGAAGCTTTGGATGTTTCGAGGCACATCGGCTGTGTCCGCACCTGATTAGAATTGAAATGCGAAATTTCACTTCAATTGATTGCAAATATGATTCCGATACTTCCGTTCAAGTTGACGTGAAAAATATGAAGTTGAGTCCAGCTGCTGTCGGTTGAGGTTCACGTAGTTTGATTTTTGTTCCACAGCGTTTTTTATAGCATTCCAGATCTGCTTGTAATTACGGTCACCAAGTAGGATTTCAGATTAGAGTCTGTCATGATTTTGGATCTCATTCTTGATCGGCACTGACGTTTGTTTAACTAAAGCTCGGTCACGATTGTTATATGCTCGTTCATTGATTCTTATGAGGGTCTTCAAAGTGGGGGGAGAAAATCCGGCTGATGTACATAGGGGCCGCAGAGGTCAAAGCATAAGTTCAAATAGTTAGTGAGGTGTTTACATCCGACCGAGACACTTGGATCAAAGAACTGGTCAAAATTCATACGAGACCATTTTTCTCAGTGACGCCAAGTCGCACAGCCTATGAAAAGTCTTCCGACTGGATGTACGTGTTAGTGTACAATAAAGTTTCTTCGAATAGACTCTTGGCAAAACACTCATGATACAATGATCGGAGTTTGCCAGAGGAGTTCCTCTTTGCGCAGCAAACAAGTCAAGATCGTTCGAAAAGACAAGGTCAAGCTGCGCATTTCCTCTTGTCGGGAAATTTACAAGATTGTGAAGCGAGAGACAAATCAAGAAATGTACATCGGAATAGTCAAAATGACCAGAACGATAAATAGGGAGCGCTCAGCGTAGTTAGAAAGTTCGGATATAAATAAATCGGCAAACTTCCATGCAACAGAAATTGTACCGGAAGGCACGATGTAAACGTCTGATTCTGACGTTTGATAGAACGATATTTACTAAGAAAACGGGGTTTACATTCGACGGAAATACACGAGATGTGGCATACTTTGTGGGTGAAGATAATCTTTGTGGACTTATACCAAGAAGATCTGGTGCAGGTTATTAGACCACTACAACGATTTCGTAGTTAAATGTTTCTATCCTTCCGGTGCATAGCAAGGAAATCCAGTTCAATAAGAAATTCTTTGATGTCAGGATGCAATCACGTTTCCTGCAGCGTAATCATAAATGCATACCATTTTTTCATCCTTATCAATTTCGTGAAGTTGCACATTTTTCCAAACAGTGATCGTACGTTTGATGAGCAAATAGCGGGGATAGATATTTTCTGAGGTTTTGTATTACGTTAACCCACTTGCCAGTCTGCTCGGTGCATCTTGAGGAAACCTGATCTTGACGGCCTGCATTTTTTGCATTCAATTTTTACTTGAGGACTGAAATGAAGAAGAATGCCACTCTTGCGCGATAATACATAGGGTTTTAAATTCCTTAAAGGTTCCGAGGCGTAGGTGAGCATGAAAAAGATGAAAGAAATTTGATTCAAACAATTAAATCCAATGTACGGCATAAACTTTGATAAATTATCCATTGGAGCACATGTGCAGCACGGTCGAATTTTGAAGGCCTCGCCTATATCCTTCCAAGGAATTCAATCACCATTCTCACTCTCTCTCTCTGGTATCTCAGCCGCTTTTCTTCCAGTCCCCTCCACTTCGCACATCTAGATCCCTCTTGCCGTCCTGCTTGCACAAAACCGATGAAAATTTTATTCGTTCAGAGTTCGCTAAGCAATTGAACGACGAAATAACCTACCTAACCTTCTCGATCAACATGGCTGTCCCGGGTTCTGGTTAGAACCAACGAACGCCAGAAACGATGGATGGTAGTCAATTAAAGTCAGACAATTAATAGGTTCACCCTATTGAATGCTTATCCGCTACTTCGCATTGATGACTAGGTGGAGAAAATTGACGAATACAGCACCTTGGATTTGAAGAGTGTGCCATCAAATACTCATAATGAAAAATGAACGACATTATGCAGCTTTCGAAGCATACAATAACCCTTAACAATTTCGCCGAATACCGTTCGGAGTAACCTGCCTGTTTTCAGCGCACGATGGATGCGCTAGTTCGACCTGGAGGGCTCAAAGGAACGTTTGAATGTGTAGCCAACATTACTGTCTGCGGGAAAGAAATTACGGACCATGAAATCAATCTGAAGCGGTTCCTGCAGGCGACTACCAAACATAAATCATAACAAGTGTGTATTCCCCTCTGAATTAGTTCGACTACTGGGCTACAAAATATCCAAAGAAAACATCAAACCGGACCCGGAACGCTTCGATTCTCTTCTCAAACTACCTTCTCCCACAAATAAGAAGGTGCAACAGAGCTGCAGGAATCTTCTCATACTAATTCCAGTGGTTCTCCCGTTGTCTGGAAAAGATTTGCCCACTAATTTTAAACAAAATCTCCCCTCTTCCTGAAGTACTTTTTTCTAATGAATCATTGAAATCCGAGCTAATTCGGAAATCACTGTTCGCAGTCGACAAAGACACGTCACTAGTGGTCGAAACCCATGTTTCCGACATAGCGATCTCAGCTACATTCAATTAAAGTGGTCACACTGTGGCTTTTTGTTTACTCTGTCACATGTCATTCAGCTGTAGAAAAAGAAGGCTACGCAATAGTTGAAGACATTTGAAAGTGGTGGCGTCGTATCTCAAGTGCTATATCAAACTGGTTACTGATCAACGCCCTGTCGCCACTACGTATGATATGAAAGTCGGCAGCAAAATTAAGAACGATGAAATACAACGCTGGCGTATCGAGATTTCTTAGCTCTCCTATTATGTAATACACTATCCGCTATCGGAGAATCCTGTCGGCAATGACCTACCACGAGCAATCTGTGTAAGCAATCACTCAATGGATGAACTGAAGCGACTTCAGGACAGTCCGAACAATCCCGTTATCACACATCGGTACCGTTTTGTCCGCACAAAAACCTTACTGATTTCCTTTTTTCCTGCAATAAATCCAGTCATAAGACGGGTGAGAAAAAGGCCTAATAGGTCAGCGTAGTTTCGGAGGCTCATTTCAAGTCAATGCGGTTACTGGGCCGCGTTCAATGTCCGCACACTCTACCAGATTGGTCAACAAGCTGCCTTGGCTAGAACCCTTAAAACTTTCCATTGAGATGTATGCTGTCTCCGAAACACACATTATCTCGATTAGGTAAAAAGACTTTTTTTTACCTAAAACTGCCTATTTTTCGAGTATTTTCAAACAGGGGAATCTCGAATCAATCCTAATCTCGCGGAGATTAATCAATGATATTGCGTCATACGGAAACATTCACTCCGTCCATCTGATCCGTGACCTATGACCGATTGAACTTTGCTAACTGTGCACTTGATTGGCACAAACTAATCGATGCTATTTTGAGTCACATATAAGCATCAGAGTAAAACTTGTAAATTAACTTGTTTCCTGTGTGTCAAGTACACGTTCGTTGTGCACTAACTGTGTTCTTGCTTACGTAGCTGGGAGAAGGCTACTAGTGCTCGTGGCGTCCAACCTGTGCTGTGCTCGTATCCGTGGGGCTAGACGATTAGTGTGGCCACTGAGGTACGTGTGTTCCTCGTGTGTCATCGTGTGATATCTTGTTGTGTGTACATTGTGATCAATCGGGATTCGGACACAACAATTGGCGACGGGTATTTCACTCAAACCACGATGTCCATATCCGCGGAAGAACTGAAGTCAATCCTGCAGCAGCAGTTGCAGTTCGAAGCTGTGTTACGATCACTCAGTCTTTAGTCACCGAACGTCTCCAGTTCCAGACAGGCCACACCAGCGGAGGTGATCGCGGCGAGCATCACCGAGTTAATCTACGATCCAGACTCCGGCATCACATTCGACTCGTGGTTCACCAGGTGGGAAGACATTTTCCGAGTTGAATTCGCCAATGAACCGGACGACTGGAAGGTCCGCCTGCTCATCCGTAAACTGGGTGCCAAAGAACATGAGCGCTACAAGAACACCATCCTACCAAAGTGCCCCAGAGACTTTCTGTTTGACGAGACGGTCAAACAACTATCAGACACTTTTGGCGAGAAGGTAACCCTGTTCAATATCCGTTACCAATGTATGAAGCTGGTGAAAAAAGACGTTGACGACTTCCAAATGTACGCCAGCCTTGTCAATCGGGAGTTTGAGCGGTTCAAACTGCGCTCCATGACTGACCAATTCAAATGCCTCATATTCGTGTGTGGGCTCCAGTCACCCAGAGATGCCGAAATCGGAACCCGACTCATGAACACTATCGAACAGGATCCCAACGCCAATCTGCGAACGCTGACAGCCGAGTGCCAGAGAATTATGAACCTCAAACAAGATTCTGCCCTAGTCCAGGATTCCGAGCGCATTGCCAGAAATGTACACACGGTATCTTTCAGCAAGCCCNCAAGCCCCCGGATTATCCGAAATCCCGCCACTCCAGTGCCGACAACAAACGTAAACCACCCACACTGTCACTTTTGCGGCTCGTGGCACTTTCACAGATTCTGCCCATTCCGTCAAAATCAGTGCCAACAATGTCACAAAATGGGTCACAAAGAAGGTTTCTGCCCGCCTCAAACAAGCCGCCGATCAAGTCCGCGTTCATCGCGCAACCGCACCAGCAGCCTACTTGCCACGTTCAAAGCAGACGCAGCCTCCCATCGTCGATTTGTGTCTGTGCACATCAACAACCATCCAGTCCGCCTCCAAATCGACACGGCGTCCGACATAACCATCATCTCTCATCGTCTATGGCAGTCTTTGGGTCGTCCTACTCTCCATCCGACAACCAGTGCCTGCGGTGGATCCCTGAAGCTACTCGGTAGAGTAGCCTGCACCGTCAATTTCAATGACAAATCTATCGTCGGAGACTGCTTTGTGACACAAACCCACCTCAAACTAATCGGCATTGATTGGCTGGAATCATTGGGGCTACTGGGCGTGCCCATCAATTGTGTGTGCAACTCCGTTTCGGAGAGCACCGAAATGTCACGCCACGTTGCCACACATTTTGCTGATGTGTTCGAAGAGGCCCTTAGCCTCTGCAATTGTGCCCAGGCACAATGTCAAGGCAATAACTCCACAGTGTTCTGTTTGTGCAGGCCTTAAAACAAACTTTCATAGATCATGCGACAATCCCCTTCTTGAGGCCACACAAACTTATGAACACAGCATTAAGTTCAAAAAAACTGATTCCTTATTCCACTCGTAATAACCATGTACATTTTGACAATTATGGATGAGTATTCCCGTTTTCCGTTTGCCCTCCTCTGCCCCGACATGACTGCCCGCAAAACAATTTCTCGTNCCTGCCGCACTATCTACACTCCGATAAAGGAGCCTCCTCTGTGTCACAGGAATTGAAGAAGTTCCTTCACGACCGAAGAGTAGCCACTAGTAGGACGACGAGCTACAACCCTCAAGATAATGGTCAGGTTGAACGGCTGAATGGAACCATATGGAAAACAGTATCCCTGTGCCTCCGTCCAAAGGACCTAGCGGCTGATCAGTGGCAGTTCGTGATACCAGACGCACTACATGCAATGGGATCATTACTTTGCAATACTATCAACGCGATGCCACACGAACGTATGCTTCTCCACCATGGAAAAGCTGCGGTTGGCACCAGTCTACCTCAGTGGTTATTAACACTTAGTCTCATGCCATATCAAATAAACATCCGCCCGTTCAAGAATGACCCCATGATAGAGGAAGTTGTACTTCTAGAGCGCAGCCCCGAATACGTTCCCATATGTCTTCCTAATGGACACGAAGATACAGTTTCCGTTCATCATGTAGCTCACGCAGAACGACCAATTTCATCACCACTCACCCTTTTGGTAGTCTCGCGCGGACTCCTCTCCACCTCATGACACACCATGCACCTCCGATTCGTAAACAGTTCTGTCCGATCCGGTTGAATCTCTCAGTGAACCGGAATCAAGCTTTGAAAGCCTTCTATTGAAACAAAAGGGTGAGGCTTGGTAACTGTGAGGTTTAGCAACGCATCCTCCACTAATTAATGTGAACACTTTCCATTCACAGACCACGGCGTACCCGAAACAAACTTCATACAATTCTTTGTTTTCTGAGAGAGTGTAATAGATTTATCACTGTTCTCTCTGTTACATAAATGGCTCTTATTCTAGATGCATATCCTAAAATTTTACTTATCTCGTTTATCTCCCATGCCTCGTTTTTTGGTCGATTGAAGCCTGTCAATAAGGCTTGTCTGTCAACTAAACGTGCGATTGCTCTATCGCATCCTATTGTATTGTCCCTTCCACCCGTGACCTCGATCAAGTAAATTCCCTCTGACCTTCTCTGCGATCTGGTTGGATCACTTTTCGCGATTTGAGGCCCTTGGAATCTCTCACTCCAACACCAGACTGTTTGATTGCCGGCTTGTACTTTCTGTATTGCTCTTTTTGTCACGACCAGTCCATCCGTGTGATGATGGCACTCCTGCTGTACAGTCAAAGTTCACTGGGCCTACCTAAGACTCGCGGCTGTAAACAATGTGTGGTTTCTCGCTACAATCTCCCACGCATCGGAGAATCTATCACGTTACACATAGACGAGATGAAACCAAATTCCTTTGTGACACATTAGCGAAGAATATGACAAAAAAGGAAACAAATCATGGCTGTATTGGAACAAACTGAAGATTAGGGTCATAATTCACACAACTGATCAGCAGCTAGGGATGCGAAACCAGTCATGCACTCCTGAGAAGTTTTGTTCAATTGTCAATATGCTACTAACTATACCACTTGCAACCAACTGATCTAATAGTGAAGCATGTTTACTAAGAGACGAATTTAGAGGGAGAACACAATATACCGCAGGTTGCCGTTTGCACAACATGGTAGTCTAGTCGAACTTTTCTCCATTTTCTATAATCAAGCATGATTTTTTGTTTGTTTGTGAATTAGCTTACGTGCCTCCGAGTGCATGTACACTTTTCCGACATAAATCACCGTCCAAAGTTATATATTTCGGAAATGCCTTACCACAGTGCACTTGTAGCTATTTTCGTACTGTAGTGATCTGGAAAGACGTGTTCAAAAGAAATGAGAAGCAAATTTTATCAAATTGTTGAGTTTTTTTGCAGTGCAAAACTCTTTTTAGTACCGCATCATGACAACAGTTTGAAAATCCACCTCGCTGTGGACTAATGAAGTGCATTTTTCACTTTGTTTGCACACTGGAAGTCAAGATGGATAAAATCCAACCACTACTACTTTGTTTACTGCAGTTTTGCATAATGTTAAACGAGTTCCACTGCAGCTCGCGAAGTAGCGGTAACCTCTAAGCAATATGGTGCTTCTCTGTCCAAGCTTGGTCTACCTCATTGGATGTATGAGGTTAAGGACAGATCACGAAAGGCAGACCGTCAATCAACGCACCAGCGAAAAACACTGAATATATATATGAGGCAGATAGCTGTCGGATTATGAATTAAACAGCTACTTAGTTTAAGTTATTTACACCATTACCAATGCAGTGATTCGATAGAGGGATTTGAGTTTCCGCATGGTATTTCACGACACCAGGACAAAGTTATTTGAGTAGTGTAATCACCTCACTCAGCAGGCAATCAGAGGATCACGCCAGGATAACAAATCAACTCACCAGCGCGTGCACGTTGGTTGGTAACTGAGTGAAGTTTTTCTCGTGCCTCCTGTATGGAAACGCGTAAGACGTTCAAGCGATGTTCGAGGACGAGGACATCAATTTCCTTTTGCTCGCGTTCAGCATCCTGTGTATTGGTGAAAGAGAGGGATGGATAGTCGGGAACGCATTGGACATATATAACAGCAATGGTTTTTTAAATGATCTGATTCCCCACTTTTTACTCAACCTCAGCGATTCCGATTTAGCGGAACAGAGAGAGCAACGAGTTGGGAAGAACTCATTGAAAAATTTCAAGAAAAATATAAATGAACTGGACATGACATGAAAGGTGTTAGCCAAGAATGAATAAAAACAGGTGTGAGTGTGCGAAAAAGACAGCAAATGAGGAGTATGCGGAGGGAGAGAATAGAAAATATCAGATAGAGATATGAGTAATTGTTCTTATGTCCATGGTAACAGCAGCGCCTGAACCAGATTACGTTATTTGCACAGCTCCGGCTTCGCGGTCCTTATTGCTATGGATTCCGCAGTTGTTAGGATCTTCTCATTTAATCCTTTGGTGTGGATCTTACGTGCAGTGAAGAAACTTGTAAATGATGTTTCTGGGTCAGTCCTGTGTCCACTGTGGACCAAATGTTGCAGGATTGAGCTGTTCAAGCTTCTCACTGTTCCTTTTCGAACAGCAGCCGGACAATGTTCAGATATTCTCTTGGGCAAACGCCTTGTTTTGTGTACTATATAGCGAGCACTACAAGTGCACGTGAACTGATATAGAACAAAAGATTGGGACTGATGAGGCAATTTATCCTTAAGCTGTTGAACAATGAACAGCTTGGTCCGGGATGAGTCTTAAATGCGCCGCGGGAAAACAGTTGACAATGGCTTTGGATAACCGATATTCCATGATTTTTGATGCCTTGTCACCCTTAAAGGGAAAGCTGACAAAATCCTCCGTCTTTCTAGCCAGTTGTACTTTCGCATCGGTTGGTTTCGAGTTCGAAGACTCTGATCGTAGAGTTGACCCACATAAGAGACATCCTCAGGAAGAACGGATACCCAGACGCGTTTGTAAATAAAACTATTCTGAGTTTGACTTGCCGCAGAGACAAAGCCACAAAATAGGTGGATAACCATGGATAAGGCGGATTCAGGCTCACTGACTAAGCGGCCGCGAACGAGCAACGGTAGTACTGGATTTTCGCTTGTCACGCCACAAGAGTATGAGGACGGTACTAGGACGAGATGAATGTGACGCGTCACTAAAACTTTGCATGAGGGTATGAAAACCCTGATCAGAAAACTCTCATAGAGTCGCGCTGGACTTTGTGGATATGGAAATCGGGATACTCGTAAACTACGGTTAGAGACACTGAGTGATATGGTTAAGTGTTGTAAACGCTCGTGCATCTATTCACTGTCATAGCAACCTTAGTCTACATGAATTCTCCATTTTTAACTTTACACTTTCCATGTTCCAACCTTTCTTCAACCTCTTCATCCAAACAGGCAACCGACAGATGTACGAAAATAACAGCACGAAAGTGTATATATATATATATATATATATATATATATATCACCAATCTTTACAAATACAAAATAACCATGGGTGAACGAAAAATATGGAAACAAGCGGGGAAAACAAAAAGTCAACTTGGGGAATAAATATTTTTTTTGTTTTGTTTGCTGCACGCCATTTTGAGCTTTTTCGTATTTTTTATTTTCGGGAGTGAACACATGAAAGGATGCATTCACGTCATTGACTTCGAGTCGATGCCATATCCCGCAGTATCTCCAGCCAAAGACAATCTGAATCTATGTGGCCCCATCCGGGAAGCCAGATGCGACTATAATTTATTTAACCCTCTGCGCCACGTCACAGTCTGTCCACCTCGGTGTTTCTCCCAGTCTGGACCAATGTATGCGAACAGTGCACGGGGTGACAGATGTTCAGACATTCGTAGGACGTGCCCTAGCTACCTAAGACGATGCTGTGAAAGTGTTTTACTCAACGAAAGACTATCTGATCCTAGCACCTGTCGTCTGCTGTCATTGTTATTCACGCGATGCTCCCACTATACGCGGGCGTCGACGATGCGCAGACAACGGCTGTCAAAGACGGATAGTCGTTGGACATGATCTGCTCGGAGGCCAGGTTTCGAGGCCATAGAGCAACACGGTGCGCACCGTTGCGCAATACACACGCCCTTTCAGTGAAAGGGATATGTCGCGCCGGCGCCAGAGATGCCACAGATTAGCAAACGCTAACCTAGCTTGATCACACGTTGAGAGATCTCGCCACCACCCCCACCTTCCGTTATGCAACTCCCGAGGTAGACAAAGCGTTCGACTACTTCTAGGGTGTCATTACCCAAAGAATGTGCAGGAACGGGTCCCAGCCAATTATGCAACAACACTTGGCACTTTGAAGGTGCAAAGGAAAAGCCATACTGAGCAATCTCAATTGCAAACGACCCAACGACCCTTGAATTGTCGGTGTGTTGTCACCGAGTAGGGCAATATCATCAGCACTCTTGAATCTATGAATCTGTCTCCAGGAAGTAGCTCGACGCCACTGTTCGTTACGTTATGTAAAACGTTTTGTAGGACAACAGCTATGTCAAAGTTGCAGTGAAAGCGAGCCTAAGACTTTAGGGTACAAACTTAACGGTAGCCCACACCAACAAAGGGGTATTCTTTGGGAACCCTCAAAGGAGCCTTAGACT